ATCATCGTTGGCCATTACTACTGCTCCCTTAGATCTAGTGAAGTAATGGTGTGTTGCAAGTTTCACCACAAACCAACCACCTTAAGCTTACTAACGTAAGAGACAACAAACGTGTTAGGGTTAAGCATTTTATAGATATAAATCACACATAATGTGCCATGCTCCTATCGTTGTCACTATTTCTAACATGCTTTTGGAGGCTTCATGTTTCATTCCGACTTATGAGGTAGCTTCTTATTGACGCTCTTATTTTCTTCTTCTTTTTTTGTTTTTCACTTACGCCTCATTTTGATCCCTCATCTTAGAATCATTGAAAAAAAATTTTGATCGAACCTTTTGTGGGTTGCCTACGTATCATGTCGCCGCATGAATCAGATCATTACGTAGTTCAGGGGGATTGGGAATAGACAGACCCATTTTTCATTTTCTTTTCTTTTTTTTATATATAAAGACCTTTAAATATATTTTTTGAGTTTATTTTTAAATAAAATTTTGAATTATTTTTTTAAAAGAAGGAATTCTAAAGAAGGAAGAAAATATTTTGGATTTTGATTTGAAGATTGTTTTTGTTCTTTTTTTTTTTCAAATGAAAGGCTTCAGAAAAGAAGGAAAATATTTTTGGATTTAATTTCTTTTTGGATTTTCTAAGAAAAGAATTCTAGAGAGGGAATCAATGAAAGGAAAATTATTTTTGAATTTTTCTTTTTTTTGAAAATTGGGACCGGAACCGATGAGGTTTGCCTACGTATCTCATATCTGGTGAGAATCAGACCCTCGTAGTTCGGTAGATGAGAAATAAAATAGATAAACTAACTCTTTTTTTTCATATACAATTAATCCGACAAAATCTCCTAGCAAATAAAATACTTTTAATTTTTATTTTCCATTTTTTTTTTGTTTTTTTGGAATTGGTGAAAGAAAAACTTCTAAAGAAGAAAAAAGAATTTTTTTTGAATTTTGATTTTTTTTTAAATTTCAAAAGAAAGAAAATATTTTTTGGATTTTGGGTGAAAGACTTTTTTTTTTAAAAGGAAGAAAATATTTTTTTGGATTTTTGGTCTTAAAAAAAAGAAATTTCTAAAGAAGCAATTAAAAGAAAATATCTTTTTGGATTTTTAAAAATCGGGGGCCGGAACCGATGAGGTTTGCTTACGTATCTCACATCCGGTGAGAATCAGACTCGCGTAGTTCGGTCAAAATCGACTATTTTTTTTTTTGAAAATTAATCTTTAAAACCATATGCACTAGACCACATCATTTTCTCTGTTCGTTCAACTGATTTATGCTAAAGCCGGTCGACATGCAAGCCTCCCAAATAATGCAATAAGTAGCACATAACATGACATAATGGTCTCAACAAAGCCTGTCCTAAAACAGAACTCGGCCCCTGTGTCGAGCGTTGCTAAGTCAAATGCACATGATGCAAATAAAGTGTAGCCTACTAGGGATATTCATTGCTTGTGGCTTGTTCTTCTAAGTTTGTAAATCCTAAAGGAGATGATATCTACACCTGGCTTACCCGGACGGACAACCCGAGCCGAGGAGAATCAAGCGTCACCAGTAGTAGAACAACACTGGCTAGCTAACGGCTCTTCCGCCTAAACACGTGTGACTAAATCCTTCACCAGAAGCTGATAGGCTAACTGGCTTTATCTCAAGACAAAAATTTTGTGATGCTGGTAGGCAAACACAACATAACTAATTATCAGAAGACTCAGAGGGATGCGGGAGAAGATACAATTTATATGTACAGTTCAACAATATCAAAACGGTAAAAACTCAACAAGTAACACATTAGGCCCAAATAAATCACAATATATACAAAAATTAATAAAGCCAAATAAAGTCAATGTACAAGCTCGAATTCTTGAAGTCCTCAGCAGAGTCGCCAGAGCTGTCACACCCCTTTTATGCCCCCCAAAATGATAGTGTGTGTTATGGATGGTGGGTTAGAGTTTCTCCAATTAAAGTGACAAACTTGAATATGGATTATTTTATTTACAGAGTCGCCACTTGAAATTAATTTTTTGGGTGTTCCATGTCACCTTTTGTTTGAATCCCTAGTCAACGGAAGATTTGACTCTTTTATTATTGGTCTGCAAAATAAAATCCGGGTAAGAAATTATGTTGACCGGGGAGAAGGTGTAAGGCATTCCCCGAATTCTGTGATTCTAGCACGGTCGCTTTATTGACTATAACTTGGCTTGAATTAATTTTGGATAAACTCTGATTTATTGGTTTTCATGTTTTATCTATCCGCTTTTAATTATTAAAATATGGAATTATCTTTGAAACGAATCACGTGTGTGAATCCGTTTTGTTTATTGTACCAAAATCATATCACGCGTACGTGTACACAATTAATAGCATTTTATTATATAAGATTGTTTTTGGTCAAAGTTGCGCAGACGCGTACCTTGATTTATTTTGGGATCATAATTATGTCACGCGAACGTATACATAACCATGATAATGTATTAAGGCGTGCCTAAAGCATCCATGATTTTTTTTTCTAAACTACTTTGAGATTGTTGTGAGGTCATGATTTATGGATATTAATTTGCGGGAAAAGATGTATTATATTTGGTCTAAATACATATTAGCGTATAGTGATTGTTTAAAGAAAGACTGAATGTCAAGCCCACTGCACGTGAAAAAAATGAATTAAGAATTCATTATGACTAACTTAAAAAATTAAATATTCAACTACTCTACTCTTATGCCTGTATGGAGTGATATATAGAACAATGATAGCTATATATGAACAATAGAGTGATGATAATTATTAGTAGCAAACAATTCTGGAGTCATAAATATTAATTCCACTTTTGCTAATTTCTATGGATACCCACTCTGTAACAGGAATTCTTCCTGACACCAATACATGAGTACTACACTAATCAACAACTATTGAGTCACTGACTTTTTAAACTAGCAGATTATACAAGTTTCATTTCAGCATGTGACATTACTCAAAAATAGGATTCAAGCTAATACAATAAAGTTGCTCAATTTCAAGCAACTCAGATTTAACCAACAATCAAATTCCAATTCAAATTAACCGAATTCTATTCATTGTCTGAAATTAGATATACACAAACAAATGCAAGCAATAGCAGTAGATGAACTAAACAACAAACGATTTCATAATCACTGTTCGGAATTAGTTTTGTGAAGAACATACCTATCTGCTCAAGGACTAAACTTAGAAGCAAAGGAGGCCAAATACATGCCGGAAATCAGTAAATTGGAGCTCAGCAGAAGTAGAATCAGCAAAACGCAGCTTCAACTTCCGAATCCGAAATCAAACTCGAACACCTAGAATTTGTAGAAGTAATGCAGCGGCAATCGGAAGAGCCTTTGAAATTCTCTTTTCCCTCAATTTTTCTTATATTTTTGAAACCTCTTTTGTCGTTTTTAGCTCTCAAAAACCTTTTAAAACTTCGATTTTGTTTTTTGTTGCTAAGTGCTTTTGGGTATGTGTATTTTCAGAGATATGTGAATCTGTGTGTTTTAGCCGTGAGAATAAAATGAGTAAGAGTAAAATGGGATAGTCAATCAGGAAAGGGGGGCTGCGACTAGGTTTTTTTTCCAAAGGGGGAGGGATCCATGATGTTCTTCTTTTTGAAGAAAGGAATTGTGGGTTGTTTTTAATGGGTAGGGAGAGTGGTATGGAGCTTGTGAGTGGGGGACAAGCATGGGGGACAGGAAAAAGTGGAGAGGGGACAAAGTGTGGGGGGACAAGTATGAGGGCAAGCATGGGGGACAAGATAAAGTGGAGTGGAGACAAAGTGTGGGGAATAAAGAGTGGGGACACGCGTGGAAAGATGGGAGTGGGAAATATTCAAGCACGGTAAAAAATTAGGTGCTCACATTGCTTACGTTAAAAAAGGCTTGCAAGATAATCCCAAAATTAAGGTTAAAGAGATGAGAGCAAGCTTGAAAGCTGCATTTAATGTAAATGTTAGTGAATCTAAGTGCAAAAGGGCAAAAAAAAATAATTTTGGAGAAATTTGAAGGTAGTTTTTCAGATGAATATAATAAGCTTGTTGCCTATGCCAATGAACTGAAATAGTTTGACTGCCCAGACTTTGATACAGAGCCTGAAATAGCTATAAAGCCAAGAAGTATCTCTGAGGCAAAGACTAGACTACAGTTGAGGCAACTACAAAGTACAACAATTGGAACAGAGGCAACTGGATTTGTTGATGATGCCATTGATGTGAGTGATCCATCAAAACTTCCATTCTCACCAAAGAAGCTGCAATGGCAGGATAAAAATGCTATTATTGGTAACCAGCTTAACAAACAAATATTGGCCAAGTTGAGAGCAAAGAAGGGTAATGGGAAGAAGCAGACTTAATGCAATCTGGTGTTGTGTAATGTGGAGCTATTGAACTCTATTATGGTTGTATATTTTTAGTTGTGATATAATTACTGTTAGGCAAGTAAACTTATTATTTTTCGTTGTATGACTGATTAGTTAGTGACCTGTTAACTTGGATGTCATATTATCACTTGGTTGTGTAATATTTTGGGGGTGATAATGTGACATCCCCTTATTTGGGGTTTAATATAGTTTGACTATTTAGTTAGGGAAACTTGGATGTCATGTTATCACTTAGTTGTGATATTTTTTGGGGTGTTAATGTGACATCCCCTTGTGAATGAAGCAACTATTAGTTTATGAATTTAAATGTTCGTTTCATTGTTATTCATTGTCCAATTTATAGATGTTGTCCAACCCCTTCATTGTCAAAGATTTAGGAATTTGCAGGTTCATCACTATAATATACTGTCCACATTTTGACAGAGACAATGCCTTCAACACATACAATTTGTGTGTTTTGTAACTTCTATGTTCATCGGCCCATATCTATGAACATATATAACATCAACAAAATACATAAAACTAAGATTGCATTAACTAATGTAAACAGTTTAAAACAAAATACATAACACCAACATTACATTAACAAAATGATAATAAAGATGCACCTACTCAAACGAGAAGAAAACTGAAAACAATACATATTCACTAAAAAAAGATCACAAAAATACACATCAACAAGATTCACAAAAATTCACTTTATCATCGACGCCGCAACAAATCCAACAAAAAGTGCCCATGAAACCATAAGCATCATCCTCGTCTTCAAAACCTTCTCTTCCAATTTTATTACTTTTATAGCTTCAGCTTGGTGTAGAGCCTCCATGGCAATTAATTCTTCTTTCAATTTATCCCTATCAATTTTAATCGCTTCCCAAGACGATGTTAGAACTTTAGTTGTAACCAAATCACTGTTCAACGAGATTTCATCTTCCCATTCAAAATAACCATAAGAACAATTCTGTCAAACACAAAAAATCAGAAATTGACCCAAAGATCTTTATAAGTAGACTATAATGTTGAGCAAACTGATAATAATTTAGAGCTTTTGTTAGAGAATCACTAACCTTAGGTTTCAGACATTTATAAAATCGTCTTCCAGAGTTTAATGGAGTCGTTGAAGTGAAGTGGTTTGTAATGATGCCACAACGATACCTAATTTGGGATGAACAGCTTCCTTGCGACATTGAAGACTGAGGAAAATAGGATTGGGGTCGTGTGAGCCCTAATTCTTTGTCAATGGAGAATGTAATGGGGTCTGTAGGTGAGAGACGGGTGATGTAATGGGGTCTGTGGGGTTTTAATTTGGTGGGGTAGAGTGACTTGACAGCTGACATGAAAAAAATTAAGGGGGTCAACTGTCACGGTGTAGATCCATTAGGGTTAGGGACAATTTTTAAAAGTTGATTAACTGTAGGGGCTATATTGGACGAAAAATATAACAGGTGACAGAAATAAATAATATACCACAATAGAGGAGCAATTTTGGAACCTTTCCCTAATTTTATTGAGCAATAGACATTCAAAATGGCGTTAAAGGACAAAACACACTTATAATAGCAGAAGAACAGAAATCTAATTCGGCGTGAGGGTAAAAGAGAGTGGACATTAATATTTTGTTTTTTCCTTTTTTACTTAGTTAAACATTTTTTTTTCCTATATCTTAGCTCTCCACTGTTAGCTCTCTCTTGTGTCTATTCATATTTATGTATGAACTAGTTTCTCGTCACGTGTGTTGCATGTATATACCTGTCGATCGATGTAGTATATAATTTATGTAAACTTGCTTGTGATGTATTGCACGTGTATGTCTTGTGAATGATTGATGTAGATCGTCGTATTGTAACTTGTTCGTCAAAGTAAAAATGATTGGATAATATTTGAACCTACAAAATTAAAAAATTTAATTAGATACATGCGCGTTTTTTCTTGCTTTGATTTTGTTTGATACAACCATGTAATGAAGTATATCTCACCTAATACTACCTTATATAGGATATTCCTAGTTTGTTCGATTTAAGATTGCTCTGTGAAGATGATTGGTTGAAATTTAAACCTACAAAAATGAACAAGTAAAGTTTAATAAATACATGGGATTTTTTTTACTTATTCGATTTTATTTTTGTACAAATATGTAATACAAAGTATATATGGGAGAGGATCCGCTCCAGTGAAATTCTGTCCAGTAATATTCAATACCATTACCGATTATTGCCATTTGTCTACCCATGTTTTATGTGGCTGAGATTTATTCTCGTAATATACAACTAAATATGGTAGGACAATTCCGAACAAAAATAATGAAAAAAGACAATGCTAACGGCGGACGTTTTTATTTTAACGTGCGTGCCATTTTTTTAAAAATCATTTTTAAGTATCAAAGTTGCACAATGCAACATGTAGGGACTGTTTTGTTTTTATTATTTATGTAAAGAGATGTTTTGTCAAAACATATAGGAGTAATTTGTTCTCCAGTTAATTTCATTTCTATTATGAGCCTGTTTGTTTCAATAATTTTACACATGCACGAAATTTTTATTCTTTTCCTCATGACCAGTTTAATATTAATAAAGTATTTATTTTTGCTTTTTAATGTACATAATAATCATCCAGTAACGTCGTATAAAAAATATTTATATATGGCAGGCAAACCTTTTCGAACATGTAGGAGCACAAATATTTCAAGAAGAATTTATTATGCTATTAGCTATCCGTTAGTTTTATTTCTAGTGGATCTTCATTTTTGTAGATAATATATTGGACATGTCATTTATTAAATATCATAGCTCTTTGAAACATAGAAGTAACTGTATGAGCATAAACAAAATTTTCTTTTTGTAATATAATTATAGCATTTAAACAACCTCATATAAATCTCATTATTCAATACCTCTTCTGTCAACATGAAACAAATGATTTCAAAAGAAAGGAAAAGATCGATTCCAAAAAATAAAAAGTTAATTATAGACCGTAGGAGTGAATTGCTCTTGTATGTTTTGACAAATGACAAAATATTTCTTTACATAAAATAAAAATAAAAAAACGGGCCATACATATTGCATTGTGCAGTTTTAAAACTTGGCAAGTTTTTTTTTTAAAAAAGGACACACACGTTACAATAAAAAGGTCCGCTGTTAGCATTGTCTTTTTTTCATTATTTTTATTGCTCATGATTTTCTTACCATTTTTGATTGTATATCATTATAAAAATGAATCTCAACCACAGAAAACATGAGTGGACAAATGGCAATAATTTGTAATGGTAGTGAACATTACTGGACAGAATTTCACTGGAGGAAATATGTAACGATCCGGCCAGTCGTTTCGAGAGTTGTAGCCTCGTTCCTCCATTTACTGTTCATTCTATACTTTATAGTTGTTATGTGACTTGTCGGGGTAGTCAGTTCGAGTCCGGTAAGGTTCTGGAATGAATTGGAACACTTAATTCCAAGGTTTAAGGCTTAAGTTGAAATAGTTGACCGGATATCGATTTTGTGTAAATGACACCGAAATAGAGTTTTGATGATTCCAATAGCTCCGTATGGTGATTTTGGATTTAGGAGCGTATCCGAAAAATTATTTAGAAGCCCGTAGTTAAATTAGGCTTGAAATGGCTAAAATAGAAGTTTAAGTTTGGAAGTTTGACGGGGAAGTTGACTTTTGATATCGGGGGTCGGAATCCGATTCTGAAAATTTGAATAGGTCCGTTATGTCATTTATGACTTGTGTGCAAAATTTGAGGTCAACCGGACTTGATTTGATAGGTTTCGGCGTTGAATGTAGAAGTTGGAATTTCTTAGTTTAATTAGGCATGAATTGGGATGTGATTCGTATTTTTTAGCGTTGTTTGATGTAATTTGAGGTTTCGACTAAGTTCGTATGAGTTTCAGATGGTTAATGGATCGAAATTTGGACTTAGAACAAAGCTGGAAACTTTCTCTCATCTGATGCAATCGCACCTGCGGAGTTTGGCTCGCAGGTGCGAGCTCGCAGAAGCGAGCTTGGGAGCGTAGAAACGGAAAAGGGAGAGTGGAGCAGTGGCCGCAGGTACGGAGGAAAATTCCACATCTGCGCGACCGCAGATGCGGACGAAGGATCGCAGGTGCGCTTGGGAACGCAGAAGCGGACGCTTCATTGCAGAAGCGAAGGCTGTCGCAGAAGCGGGAGATTTACCGCAAAAGCGGAACCGCAGATGCGGTTAAAAATTCCGCAAAAGCAGAACCTCTGGGCAGTGTACAAAAACAGAGGGTTATGAGTTTTTGTCATTTTTGGACATTTTCAATACGGTTTTTGGGCGATTTTCAGAGAGAATTCACGGAAAACTTGAGGTAGCTCACTTATGATTATTGTTAGTCAATAATATTGAAGTATCATTGAGTATTTCGACTAGATTACGTGTTTTTGAGGTGAAATTAGAGGATTTGGGCCTAGGAATTTGAAAATAAGATTTGATGATTTGAGGGTCGAGTTGATGTCGGAATTTGGTAAAATTTATATGGTTGGACTCGTGGTAGAATGGACGTTCATATTTTATAACCTTTGTCGGGTTCCGAGACGTGGGTCCCACGGGTAATTTTTGAGTTAAATTTTGGTTTTTTGTTGAAAATTCATATTTTCATATGGAATTAATTCCTATAATTCGTATTGACTGAATCAAATTAATTGAGACTAGATTCGAGCCGATCGGAGTCGAAAAATCAAGGGAAAGGCATTCTTATTAACTGATTGAGCTTGGGTTGAGGTAAATGGCTTGTCTAACTCTGTGTGGGGGAAATTCCCTTAGGATTTGATACTGTTGTAACACGGGCTAAATTTAGAAATATCGGTTCTTGCTGAGTAGGCTTCTTTTAAATTCTTTAACTGAGTTGCCTTATCATATGTAGTGATCATGTTTATCCTAGTATCACATGTCTACGTTCCTTAACTCTTACGAGCAATATGTGCAACATGCTTAGCTGAACTACCTAATTTCCTTGATTTGATTTAAATCTTTATTTGTAAGATTTCTTGTTGAAAATTTATTGTTCCTCCGACTACCTACTGCATATTTATTTTTGGGACTACGAGGCAATTCCTCGGGAGATACCCCTGTACTGTATATTTACTTTTAGGTCTACAAGGCGGTTCCTTAGGAGATCCCCATGTACTGCAGATTGACTTTTAGGACTACGATGCGGTATCTCGGGAGCGCCCCTATTGTTTACCTCTAATTGTTGTGTTGTTATCTTTCTGTAAATTTCATTTATTTCTTAGTCACACTATTATAAATATTTACCTTATTTATTATTATTTTTAGTAGGGCCTGACCTAACCTCGTCACTACTCTACCGAGGTTAGACTTGGCAATTACTGAGTACCGCTGTGGTGTACTCATACTATGCTTTTGCATATCTTTTTGTGCAGATCCAGGTACTTCCTATCAAACCAGGTATCAGTGAACTAGCTGTACACGGAGACTTCAAGGTACACCTGCCACCGTTCGCAGACCTCGGAGTCCCCGCCCATCCTTATTATGTTGTCTTCCTGATTTCTCTTTAGACTCTGATGTATTGAGACACTCAGAATAAATTCTTAGAAACTTGTGACTTATTTCTACTGGGTTTTGGGAGTTGAAATTATTGGATTGCAGTTTTATATTTATTTCATATGTTGAGAATTTGGCTTCAGTTTTAATTTATGTATTTTCGCAAAAATTGTTAGGCTTACCTAGTCTTAGAGATTGGGTGCCATCACGACATCATACGGAGAGTGAATTTGGGGTCGTGACAAGTCGGTATCAGAGCTCTAGGTTCATAGGTGTTATGAGTCACAAGCAGGTTTAGTAGAGTCTCGCGGATTGGTACAGAGACGTCTGTACTTATCTTCGGGAGGCTATGGAACTGTTAGGAAAATGTTCACTTCTTTGATTCCTTATCGTGCACATTTGTTGACTTCAAAATTCTAAACCCTTATCTTTCTATTCTCTCACAGATGGTGAGGACACGCATAACTGGATCTGATGATCAGACCCCACGCCCTTGTTGGAGCCGCAAGAGGCCGGAGCCGGGGCAGAGGCCGAGGAAGACCACGTGGTGCAAACAGAGCACCTGCACGAGCTGCTGTAGCAGAGCCACTAGTAGCTCCAGTTGGAGAGCAGGCACCTGAGACGCCTGTTACTACCCATGCACTTCAGGTGACTCTTGCCTAGTTTTTGAGCATGTTTGGCACTTTAGCTCAGGCGGGGTTGATTCCACTTGCTC